GTTGCGGTTCACTTTCACACTGCAAAGTTTCTAATCGGATCAAAAGAGCTAAAACAAGTCACGTGCGAGTAAACTCTCCTCACATTGGGAGTGTAAGGGTTTATTTTGCAGCGTCCCGCTCAGCTGTCAGGAGAGGTGGTGGTTTGATGGTGATTGACAGGGTGTGCGCGCGCGCGATGTGTCTGAGGAGAGATGCGGTGGGGAGGGGTGAGAAGGGTGCGCGACGTAACGTATTTGAGGACTGGGAGGGAGACGCGAGAAACTTCCCGCCATGCTCATAATTCTCTCTTCATATGCCTATTACATATCCATAAAACACTGTGATATAACTGCGCTCGGATCAGATCGCTTTCCCACTGCAATCGAACCATTCCAGGGTTCATTTCAATCGAGTCGAGACCACCTCATTCAAGCGATCTCGGAGCGATTACTTTGACGCGGAACAGAGCGCGATTGCCCTGTTCACATATGCCAAACGAACCGCACTAACTGGGCATCGAGACACGTTCCGAAACAAAAGTGTAGGTGTGAAAGCACCCTTAGGGCCTACTCACACTATGCCATCCGTACCGTGCCCAGGCCCGTTTCCCGGATCGTTTGAGAAGTGTGAGTGCGCTGAATCGGGCTCAAGCACGGTTCACTTGGCCGGCCCTGGCCCGGTTGGAAGAGGTGTGCCTGGATCACTTGGGCTTTGGCGCGGTACGCTTGTGTGTGAGTGCGAAACGCGCCAAAGCCCGAAAGCGAGACGTGACTTTTAAGGGGCTGTTTCATATGGATTTATTAATCATTCTTACTGTTCAGTGAACGCAAACTGCCGTAGTTTATTAAAGACGAGAACTCCTCACAGCATGACAGCTGCGCGCCTTCAGCAGACCTCCTCATTCCAGCAGCACGAGAGCTTTATGATCGTTTATGAGCGCCAAAAGATGCGGATCTGTTCGGCGAAATATCTGACTGCGTGCCACCGTATCCCTAAGAACTGTTTGGCGAAATATTTGACTGCATGTCACTGCATGACAAACGACTGAAAGGATATAACTAGAGAAATCTCCACTGTGCTACTGGGTGAGAGCGTATGGCAAGCCGTTTTAGCATTTAAACCTTGTTCTGACTATCCATAAATATATTTAGAGATATAATTGTATTTTGACTAGTCATAATTATAATTCGACTAGTCAGAATGACAAAGTCATAATATATTTGCAGATATCTCCAATCTGATTTCGTACTAGTACAATTGTAATTGCAGATATCTCTAATTGTCATTCTGACTAGTCGAATTATAATTATGACTAGTCAAAATATAATTAGAGATATCTCTAAATATATTTATGGAGTCAGAACAAAGATTTAAATGCTAAAAAGGCTTGCCATAGAGAGCGCTTCTGAACAGCGCAGCAGCGATGACGTAAGCGTGCCGAGGCCCGATATGGTGCGAGCGCGGGCCGTCGGGGGAGACGGGAGGGGGGACAAGCGTGCTTTGGCCCGGTTCGAGGCAACTGTACCTAGTGTGAGTACGGCCTTAGACTGATTACACTCGCACCACCTGAGGATTGTCAAAGAATGATTACACCCACTATTTAGCAGCACACACACTCATTCACATTGCCGAGTCTTGTTAGCTGTATAGTGACATTACAACGCGTTACCTTTGTCTTGTTTTCCTGTGTTTAGACCTCAGCCTTGTTAGCCGTTTGTCCTAGTCTGCCGCCTGCCTTACGACCTCTCGCCTGTTATCTGATTACAATTCTGGACTGCCCCTGTAGATCTGTTTGCACCTGTATTGACCATTGCTTGCCTGACTATCGAATAAACCTGCATGTGGATCCAAACCTCAGTTGTCATTGTCACTCCCCGTGTTACAGAACAATCTCGTTCAAACAATTTATTACGATTTGCTTATCCCCCAAAAACGGTTGGATTTAGGGTTGGGGTTTGGTCCTACGCCTCCTTTTAAAATCGTACTTTTTCGTACAACTGAATTTGTACGAATTAGCCACTAAACTGTTACATTCAAATAGTTGTTTCCTTGTGAGATCCGGCTCGATATTAATTCTTAACTCTGAATTCTTATTTTGTTTTAATTATTTATTACTTTTTATAAGACTAAATGTTGCTTAATGAAAAATAAGATAAATAATGATTAAATAAAAAAGATGTCTACTAAAAAATATATAAGCTGCGTCCCAAATGGCACACTACACGTATACATTATGTACTTATGCACTTACACACTGAACAGTATATTATATGAATGTAGTGTCGGCCCAAATGGAACACTAATGTTTTTTTTTTTACCAAGTGAAAATTTGAACAGTTTATATAAAAAGTTTAATAAAAGACCAAACTACCAAAAATTCACCATCGGGAGGCAGTAGAATTACTGTAGTAGGAGAATTTTGCTTTCACCATCCAAAAAAAATAAAGATATACAACATCAGTGGCAGAAAGCTCCGCCTCTTCAGCTACGTGGGCAAAGCAGCTATCGATGTGTGCGTGAAGTGTCCATCATTTCACATTTCATATTTTCAGTTGAATAAGTGCATCATCCAGGGGTCCGTTCTTCGTACCTCGCTTAAATGATCTAAGATGATTTGGCAGATCCTGAATCTTTTAATCTTGATAACTGATCTCTCGCTAATTTGGTTCTTCAAACAAGTTCGCGAATCAGATTAGAATGTCTGGATAAACTAATCTGAGATCGCTGCGTGTGTTGCGAAGGACAGATCTATCGATCCTCGAAATCATGATCAGAAATGCAACGATTGGCTGACGGCACAGCAGCGTAATGACATCATCTGATTAATATTCAATTATCCATGTGAGCAAAATTACATCAAATTAGCAGTAAACGGCTTGTTAAATATGACACGCAATAACATTACACATTTGCTGTGAGCTGCAGGCTTTACACTTCATCATGAATTTCAATGCAAATCAATGTATTTAGTTCTACATTTAGAAAAGATTTTCTTTATTATAGTAGTTGTTTTTTTAATCGGTTATTTAAACTGGTTGTTTACAAAAGCATTTTGATATTGGTAAAGGCGTCTGCAACTTTTGTGAAGCATCAAATCACTGGCATATTAACTATCAAAACATGTTTATGACTGCATAAATGTATTATTGCTTTAAAAAAAGTCACATATTGTGCGTTTCTATTATACACAATTTGTACTAAAGCGATCTAAAAAGTTCATATCAATAAGTTTTCTCTTCGCACCACCAGGTGGCAGTCTTTGTACTTTCATTTCGAGGGTGCAGATTGCATAAGTTTTATTAATATGTATAACTTTATTTATTTTATTAATGACTATAACTTTATATATATATATATATATAGTTAAAAAATATGTACCATTTTCCCAAGTGTATGTAACTACTACTGTAAGAAAATATCAGAATTCAGAACATACTTTCTGTATTATATTTGCTTGAACTGAGCCGATCTAATCCTGTTTATATGAATTGAACCTGCTCCCGATCAGGTTTGACCTAGCAGAACTGTTGCTATGACAACAACTCTCGGATCAGCTTTGAAGAACGAAACGATCCTGGATCGTGTCAAATCGTCAATATCTAAATCCAGCTAATTGAGTAATCCACGTACGAAGAACGGACCCCCGGTAATAAAAGTGCGTTTATTATTTTAAACGTTTTCAGTGTGAACGCACTACTTATTATTCACTATTTATACTACAAAATGGCGTAGAATTGTGCATAAGCATGCGATTTGGGATGCATCTATAGACATTAGGTTGACATAATTAACTTTATCGTAGTACTTGATATTACAATTAATAAACAGTAAATAAATGATTTAAAATATTAAGTATAAATATAAATATACATATATACATTTTTAATTAATTAACAAACACAATTTTATTTAAGTACATAATAAAATTGCCAATAGTGTAAGCAAAGAAATCTGATATAAGATTAGATAGATAGATTAGATAGATTTTAGGTTTAAATAATAAACATACCTTATAAATTAGACACTAAAACTAATTCTTGATTTAAGAATCTTTAGAAAAGGTTTAGAAAATAAAAGAAAATGCAGAGAAATTTGTATTTTTTTAGTGTGCCACTTGTTTTTGTGTCTTTTCAGCAGTCATATACAGTCCTGCCAAGCAGATATGAACTAGTCATTGACAAAAAAAATTAACTTTTACTTATTCATTGAATCAAAGCAGTATCTGTTTTTTCTCTACTTTTTAATACATTTTTGTACTTAAAACTTCACAATAAACAAGCTTTACCCACTAAACCTTATAAATGTACGTGCTAAAACACAATGTTGCAAGTTAGAGAAGTACTAAATAGGTATATCTAATTCTTAAGCATTGATTTATCTGTTCAATATTTAATAAACACACACTATAAAATACTACAAGTTTTAAAAGTAGAATGTGGTAGCTAGCACAGCGCATGCGCACAAACCCGCACTGAGCAGCTGGTGCGGAGCTCCGACTCTCTCTCACACACACTATGCCCACTAAATCCTATTGAATCACGAATAAGTTGTCTAATTCACACCCCAAGTCATAGAACAGTCATTTCACAGCATGAAACAGTCCATTTTAAACTGCTTACACGCGTTTGTGTACATCAATTTACTCCCATTTATTTCTCCAGCGCCTGTGAGGAAAAGTTGGAGAGGCGCGCGCTCACAGTGATTAAAGCACCGGCTAAAATTAGCTTAACATGGCCGCCTCGGGACACAGGCCTGATATATAAAGATTTATAACAAAAATAAAACTGATTTCACTAACCACGAAATAAAGTTAAGGCCAAATAACGCAGTGTTTTCTTCAGCCTGAGCGCGTATAGTGAAGATTCCCGCTATAGCGCCACAGCGCCGCATTACAGATCCTGCCTGGAGCTGAAAACGTGACAGTTGCCGATCAAAAGTTTGACAGAAAGAGTTTCAAAACAGCGCGACGACATCTCTTATGAATTAAGAATTAAATGTGTAAGAGAAAAGACTGGCTTACCATGCTGTCCGATGCGATGAATCGATAAACCGTTATTTTCTAGGTACTTCTATCTGGGAATGTGAACAGCCGAGACGGTGAGAGAGAGAGAGAGAGAGAGAGAGAGAGAGAGAGAGAGAGAGACACGCACGCACACATGCACGCGCACGCACTTACACACCGAATTTTAGATTGTGAAAAATAAATTTTGATAGTTTAATATTTTGTTTATTATAATTGTGTTGTTATTTTTATTTAATTATTGTTGTTATTATAACTATTTAACACTATGTAATATGTTTTTATGTTATATGCAGTGTAATGCATGCTTTGGCAATATATTTGTCGTCCCTTTAAATTACGTTTCAGCTGAATTTAGTTATGTTTGTGTGTGTGTGTGTGTGTGTGTGTGTGTGTGTGTGTGTGTGTGTGTGTGTGTGTGTGTGTGTGTGTGTGTGTATGTGTGTGTGAGAGAGAGATAGAGAGAGCTGCACAGCCACAGTGAGGGCTTGATCGAGCATAAATGCACTGTCATTTACTGTCTTAGGAGCAGCTGGCAAGAAAAAAATGGATTAAAAATAAAACAGAGATAGCAATTACAAGATCGTTGATTATTATTTAGCCCTTTGCTGTAACACCCATTTGTTTTATTAAATTATATGGTACTGCAACTTGTTTTAATTGTTATTTAATACTTATACTTTTTGCATGGAGATAAATTATATACAGTAGTTGTAATCAGTGTTGAGGATAAGTAACGTGACTTACGTAATAATATAACTTTTCTAAGTAAGGAGTAAAGGCATTACTTAAATCAAGAAATAATATTTGAGTTCATTAAAATTGTAAGGCGAGTTACTTAATTCAAATTTAAAATTAATTAATTGCTGGATTAAAATCAATATAGTCACATTTAAACACAATGAGGGAATGTGTTCATTATTTTAAACACATTAAATAAGGAAATGGGGATTGTTTCAAGACAAAAAGTGCAAAGGCAGCAAACTTGGAAATTAGGTCAAGATGTAGGCCCACTAAAATTGTTTAGTTTTTTCAGTGATTCTGCCTGAAAACAAAAATTAAGGTAGGATAAGGTCTATTTACTTATTTGCTGGACATCTATTGTCAATCAAATGCATTAATCAGGGCCGGCCCAAGGCTTCAGGGGGCCCTAAGCAGGATTTTATTTGGGGCCCCCTTGGTGCAAACAATATGACAAATTATGGTCAATCCTTGATAATTCGCACACTATAAATTTAAAACACACATTATCGATTTGATTCGCTGTAGCTGTGTTGCTTACATCATAAAATATATGTTTTAAGACAATTCTAAATATTATTCTGCAGAAACAACTTCCTATTGATCCAACTTTTTATATGACTACTTGCCACAAATCTAAATTAGACACAAAACATTAATATGGGCTGGCAGAAACAAAAGCAGCTGGAAGTAGCCAATAACATACTTAGTTTTATTATCATTCAGGCACAAGACGCTGCCAAACAGTCAAACATAGTGACAATAAAGATACATTTTTTTAAATTGGATATAACTGTTAACACTGAAAAAAATTCATATTCTATTTTGTAGCTCAAATAACTTAAAACATCTATTTAAATTAAAATAAAACTAAATCAGGAAGCATTTTCTAGACATACTCGCATATCAATCAAATTAGTAAATACGTACAAAAAATTTTCAGTTTTCAGAAATAATTCTAAATTAAGTGAATTTTTTTTTTTGTAAAACAAATTAATCTGCCAATGAGATCAGTAAAATAATCTTATTTAAAACCTAAAACAATATTTTTTATTTACCCTAATTGGCAGATTATTGAGCTTTTTTAGTGAAAAATTCACATCATTTTAACTAAAAATCTGTCTTGAAAATGTTTATTGATTTAAGAATTTTTATATATTTGGACTAAAAATCACACAAAAACAATAAGAAAAAAAATAATTTTGCAGTGTATTTACCAACTGTCAATTGTATAAATCAGAAGCTTATTTTTTATCACCAAGTTCATGAAAAAGCATCTTGCTGCTGTTCCAGGCACTGCTGCTTCAATCACGATATCAATGATTCTGCAATATATTGATAGATCACAAGAAAACCAGCCACAATATATCACAATTTTGGTAAACGAAGGGGGGAAATGCATAAAAAATGTATGATGAATTTCTTTTATAAACACTCATTTATAGAATTGCACCAATGTAAACCAAGTGCACATCTGTCAAACAAGCTTAAAAATGCTGATGTGCAAAGATTAGTTTATGAGTGAAGAGAGCACATCTCTATCACAGCAGCAGAATCTCAATTTAGTGGAATATCCCTTTAAGAAAAAGACTGCCAAAATAGTAATTTATTGCATTCTGTAAACTTAAAACACTTATTACAACTTGACCAACTAATTTTATGGAAATATGGAAACATTTTATGCTTAGCCCTGGTTTATTTTTAATTAAAAAAATATGTATTCCCACAATTTTTTCAACTGATCAGAATGCTCTGAGAGGTGAGCACAGACTCCATAAGCACGTATGTTTTCAGAAGTGGAGAACATTAGTTATTTACTCATCTATTTAAGTTTTTTAATTCCCCTAATTTTTTTTTTTGCCAAAATACCTTCTACAAGACTTTGACAAGGTCTGTGAGAGTCAAATAAACGCAGGGCCCTTCAAATTATATGTTTATGTCCTATTAATATCTTTATATATTTTGGCGGAGGTTAAAAGTTTGAGCACATAAGAAGTTGCACTGGCCGCGGGCACGCGCGAGCGATATAGCGAACTGAAAGCGCGTCTGTTAGAAAGAAACTAGTGGCAAATTCGGGGGAGCTGGATGTCTGAAACACACAAATACATTGGTCCAGCTTGGACAGAAGAAAGTGTCTGTATGCCTGAGATATTCACCATTGCAATGGCTCATCTCAGTGGTTTACATGACGCTGGTGTAGGTCTAATGATCCGCCATTACGGGAAGCGCCACCTGGTGGCGGCTGGGTGTACTGTAGCTAAAGCGGTTATCTGCTGCAGTCAGTGTGGAAAACTGATTAATTAAATCAGATCTTTTGTAAATTTAGGTAAATATCTTGGCGCCCGAGTATGTATCGCGGTCAGAAATAACACTATAAATGGCCATATATTTTGTCCCACCACTAATCCACAACTCAACAAACTAAAACGAAAGTCAAACAATAATTTCAAGCACTCTTGGGGGCCCCCTGGTGGCCACGGGGCCCTAAGCAGCCGCTTAGTTCGCTTATGCCTTGGGCCGGCTCTGGTGCTCGACATCGTAGGCTACTACAGGACAAATGAAAACACAATTCAGGTGTTTAGAAAAATAACTTTATTGTGTTTGATCTGCAAACTCATCTGAAAACAACAAACCGGAAGACCCAAACCGGAGAAACCATTATAATGCGCGCATATGACTATAAATCGCGGCTGTCTTGTGTTGTTCTGAAGGCTTCTTTGCTCAACACTGGTCATCTGAAAAACAAAACAAAACATTAAAAAGTTCACACAAAGGCCCTGTTGTCTATTTTAGACTATAGTAAACTAAAGTTTAAAATTATAGTTTAAAATAGAAGCTAAAGTGGGCCACGCTGCTCTCTTCCACCATAACCCTCGCAACTGGTCACACTATACCGGCCTCCCGTGTTTCCTCAGAGCTCGTCTTGATCCCTGCCTAGGGTTCACGAGTGCCTCGCCCTAGGGTGTGCACAAGCTAACTGGGCGCCAGTTCATGCCGGAGTACCCGGAATGTAGCTCGGCGGCACATTTCGAGCAACAAAAACATAATAGGGCCTATTCCTCGCGAGGTACTAGAGCACAGACGGGCCTGAGTGACGCTTTACGAAGTGGACTTCGTGAGATTGGTGTGGCTTCACTCCTGCTGTCGGTATTGAACTCACCTTGGTCACGTACAAACTGCAACACCTTGAGAACTGACTAAACTGAGAGGAGACGTAAGAGCTTTAACAGAATGCAGATGGAATGTTTAGAACGCGACGTCACTTGCAGAGTGAGCATCTCGTCATGAGCTGTAAAACTGAAACAACTTCTAATTAACACAATACAACTGGTTTATATGATTAAATGAAAATACACTTTAAATGTTTTAACTATTAAATTAGTTGTTTTAATACCAGCAGCAAAATGAATAAATAAATAAATAATAGGCTAATTCATTACAAATAACAAAACTCAAAGTTCTATAGAGTCAACTCTAAGGGTATACACCTATATATACCCAAATACACACTTGCAACATAAAATTAAGTTTTGCCATCAAAAATAAGGTATTGAGAAAAAAATGTGAAGATAATGCAAATGGCAAAGGGAAGATTAAGTTGACAAATAAAAAGCAACTTTGCAAACAAGAAAAAATACTGCAAATAAAAATCAAGCAGTGCAAAATAAAATATTAGCATTAAAAAAAACAAATTATATCTACAAAATATTTTTTCCAGTATTGCCTTCCCCTCAATTGCAACGCTCATTTTGTTATGAGATGACATGGAGAAAGAAAAAAAAAATAAAAGTCACTGATGCATTTAGGCAGAAGTGAGAAACTGCAAGCTTCGGATGTTTATATCAGTTTAATATTTTCCAAACGTGAATTGTGTGGCTGTTTTGGAGCACACTAGATTATAGATAACCTTAAAACGAACAGCCTGAAACGAACATCTAGACAACATCATTTTCATTTCATGGGACCTAATAAAAAATTGCATTTGCTTCAGTGTATGAGGGTGAAAGAGAGTGATTACAACATCAGATTCATTCCTTTTCTGCTGTTCAAACCAAACATGGAATTAAGTATTCACAGACTAAACTGCTTACAAATTAATGCAATCAGGCAAATTTTTACAGATTAAACAAAATTCACCACAAAGACTGAAGTTGCAGTGATTATTGCTAGGAGTCGTGGTTTCGTAGGGTCGCAGTACAATTCATTTATTTGACATGACTTAAGAAAATTACAATTTATAAATTATTTTTATCGTGCCAGATTGGCTGGCAGGAATGACTGTCTGACTCGTCACAGCTGAAATAATGCAGCATTTGGTGTGTTCATGTCAAGCGAATACATATACACTCACCGGCCACTTTATTAGGTAAACCTTACTAGTACCAGGTTGGACCCTTTTTTCTCTTAAGAACTGCCTTAATCCTTCGTGGCATAGATTCAACAAGGTACTGGAAATATTCCTCAGAGATTTTGGTCCATATTGACATGATAGCATCACGCAGTTGCTGCATATTAGTCGGCTGCACATCCATGATGTGAATGTCTCGATCCACCACATCCCAAAGGAGCTCTACTGGATTGAGATCTGGTGACTGTGGAGGCCATTTGAGTACACTGAACTCATTGTCATGTTCAAGAGACCAGTCTGAGAGGATTCTCGCTTTTCTGACATGGTGCGTTATCCTGCTGGAAGCAGCCATCAGAAAATGAGTACACAGCGGTCATGAAGGGATGGACATGTTCAGCAACAATACTCAGGTAGGCTGTGGCGTTGACACAATGCTCAGTTGGTACCAATGGGCCCAAAGTGTGCCAAGAAAACATCCCCTACACAGCCTGAACTGTTGATACAAGGCAGGATACTTTCATGTTGTCTGACATTACTATCCTAATGTCACAGCAGAAATCGAGACTCATTAGACCAGGCAATGTTTTCCAATCTTCTATTCTATTGTGTAAATCTGTGGTCACATTAGAGTTTGAGCATGCGATATTCTGTCGTGCGGCGCTGCGAAAAGGGGCGGAATTAGACAAGATGCTTAGACATTTAAAAAAGCGAGCGATTGCTCCATGTTTTAAATTTCTGTCATGTTTTGATCCTCGATTGGTCTTACGCAGTCAAGTAAAGCGATTTCGCAGGTCAGAGTCACAAAGCTTGAACTTTGCACCACAGCAACCTGCGAAACTTGACGCATGACCCTGCGTTTCCGGTCTGACGCATTCGCGTGCGTATGAATGGAAGTCTATGGGAGGAAAAGCCCAGGGTGACCGCAGCTTAATTTTGGTGAGCCTGTGCCAATTGTAGCCTCAGTTTCCTGTTCTAAGCTAATCCGCTTGTTAAGTGATGACGTGTTTGTGACGTATGTAATACTGTTTCCGGGTCCAAGCCGCCACTCATTTGAGTTGAGAAATCATTCGTTTATGATCACTTTTTATTCATATCACACATTAAAGTTAATTTTACATAGTCAGTGTACACAACAATCGCTGGGATTGCTGCATAACAAATACCAAAATTTTAACAATTTATAAAACAATGAATTACTTTCTGGCCATCGGTTATTAGGCATGGACATATATATTGCGATTGTGACTTTCTAAACTATTAAATCGCTTTGTAAATGTTTATTATTACCATTTCATGAATCTCCCCATTCAGTTGAATAGAGCGCTTGGACCCGGAAGCCGCTCCACGTGACGTCACACTTAACAAGCGGATAGGAATGGCTCATGGTGTGGTCTTTCTGTTGCTGTAGCCATGTGATTGGCTGATTAGAAATTTGCATTAACAATCAGTTGGGCAGGTGTACCCAATAATGTGTATAATCAGCCGTGCTGTGAAACGTCTACACTAGTGTTGTGCATAACTCAAAAATGTTACCACGTGATCAAGCCAAATATTAACAAAATTTATTTTACATCTGGAAAAAAAGAATTACACAGCAGGTAAAATGAATCTTAAGACCAATGAGAGATAAACAAACTGATTCATTCAGCTTTCTGAAGTACAGAGAAAAGGAAAAAAAAAGACAAACAACCTATAAAGACAATCTTATAAATAAAGCAAGCAAATTATACCCAAATCTAAATAAATAACCAAAAGCTGAGAAGGAAAACAGTGAAACGAGATGGTCTGGTTCCTACTTAGTGTTTAAGCAAGCTATAGGGACCCGACAGGAGGAACTTGAATCTTTACAACTATTCACAACTACAAAACCAATTCTATTTGCTCCTTTTGAGATGCAAGACTTAATTTATTGTCACTCGGGTGTGTAAAAATCTATACAAAATAGTAGTCTAGAAATGCAGTCAAGTTATAAACACAAAAAAATGCACCATTTTTAAATTTCAGACAAAAGAACAAACCAAAACGTACACATGCTTTTTGTCCTGAGTTACTGTGAACGCAAAAACTTCTCAGAATACAGTGCAAATAACTTTTTTTCTTCACAGCATAGTTATTTTACCTTTCTGCTGCTTTAAAAGACTTATCCATAGGATTAAAGGCCAATTAATACTCCCGTCACTGGCTGTGAAGATAAACGTCGCTTGAAATCAGTCAAGAGTGCATTCTGCAAATATATTTTCCTGTGAACAAGAGCTATGTAGAATTTTATCGAGTCACACACCACGCTGGAATGTTCATAAACATTCCTCAAATGCCACGGAGCAAAATAATTAGAGAGCAGATTATGAACTGGCCTTCAAGTCTTGGCCAGTCGGTGGATTTGTGGGAAAGACGGACTTGTTTACATCCGTGGTCGTTTCTGTGGAGGGGTCATGCGGTCAGCCAGGCCGAGTCTCTGAAGCTCTGAATGGAAGAAAGCCTGGAGCCGGAGACCGGCCTTTGCTTCATTGGTGTTATGCGGGTTGTACTCCAGACAGTTGGAAAACATGAGCTCTACATCCTCAATATACTCCGCTAAAAGATTCAAAACAACAGGAAATTACAATGAGCTATGAACAGTGTTTTTCAACTATCTTTTATAATTTATTCTGAATAACATTTTACAAATAATAATAAAAATTAATAATAATTTGTATTTTATTATTTAATGCCATGTCAGCAACAAAGGCTATTCTCATTGCAAGAATTTTTCAATTAAAATATACAATTAAAAACAACAAATAAATACATCAATTAAATTAGATTTTTAGTGTCAATACATGACATAAATTCTAAAAAAATTCCTAGTGTCACTTTGTTAAAAATGTCCTTAAGAGAGTTAATTTCATAAAAATGCCTTCTTGAATATTTAGAAGCAGGACAGTCTAGTAAAATGTGTTTTACAGTAAGTGGAATTGTGCAGTACAAACACTGAGTGAGGTCTTCATCTTTAAGCAAATAAGCATGGGTTAATCTTGTATGTCCAATACGACATCTGGTAGAAATCACTTGATCAAATCTAGTTTTAAAATGTCTTAGAACTCTGTTTGAGATTTCAGGTTGTATTTCATACATTTTATTATTTTCCAATGCATCCCACTCCTCTTGCTACGCATTTAAAATGTAAACATTGATTAAAGGTCTCAAGGAGAAATTTGGCTCTGTGGGAAAAAAATCATCAGTATTAAACCACTTCAGAAAAAAACCCTACTGAATATGAAACTTGTCAAAACAAGAAAACTCAAGCTGTTTACACTTTTTCGAATGCGAAAATGACATTTCGGGTGGATAATTTCAAAAATATGAAAATCCAAAAATCTAACCCAAAGTGCTGCTGGGGTGGTTAAATCTTCTTCTTAAATCAAAATAATGTTAACAGATTTGTGTGTGTGTTGAGCATCAGTTAAGACAATGTTAGCACCCGTCAGCTTCAATTGTGGGGAAAACTGGATAATTTTGAGCTTTTGTCAGCTAAATTCATCTTACGAGTTTAAAATCATTATTCTTGCAGGATCAAAATCAGTGACGTAGCGCGCATCTGCCTGTCTAGTAATGACATGTTGGTTTCTCATTATTATTCATAGTTAAGTTTTCGTATCCTATAAGAAGACCCTGTTACTTAATTATTCATGACAGCATGGGTTTCCGATGACTAGACCCACATGGAATCTGCACAAATCCACAGATTTTCAGTCCATTATTGAGTCTGTATTTACTTAAATATGTGTAAATTTATATTTCAGTTTTTAAAATTAATAATTTATAATATTACTTATAATAATATAACTTAAAATATTAATAATATCACTAATACTATTGTAATATAATAATAGTAATAATAAAATTTTCATGATTTATTTACAACACAAGTTTGTAAAGTGACATTTCTGTTATTTAGTAGATATTTAATATGAGAGACTTGCTTTGTTTACCAAATAAGTGGATCTAATTGGATTTGCATTGTAAACATTAAATAAAAGATAAAAAAGTATTGTTTTTTTTATTGCATATAATACGTTTTTAGTTATGATAATTAAGCACAAATCCGCAGATTTTTTTTTTTTTTTTTTTTACAAAATTCTCAACAGAAATAGCAAAAATTGTTCGCAGATTCTGTCTGGCCCTACCGATGACAGACCTGCCAAGCTGTGAGGCCGTGCACGAAGTATTTAGCCGTTCATCAAGGGTCATTTAATGCCTTGGTGCTCTTTAGGTAAGGGATTCAAAAAAACTAAATCATCAGTCCACGGCGCTTTAAGGCCTAAAATTTTGTTTTTGAAATTTAAGACATTAAGACACCGCAGAAACTCGAACAAAAAAATAAATAAATATTGCTCTTCATCTTTAGGTTATCCACAATTTAGGTGATGCTCTTAATCTTAAATAGACCATTAAAGAAGACTTTTAGCTGAAGCTGTGGTCTTTCGTGATTCATAAAATTGCAAACCATTACCAATGATCTTGATCGTATACAGTAAAATGATTGATTTGTGCAAGAAACTGAACATTACTTCTTTCAATTCCATTTTAATCCCATTTACTGGAACTAAAAGGCCAGTTTCAGCTAAAAAGGTTCTTTAAAGAAACCAAAAAACAAAACAAAAAAACACTTAGTTCACCTGATGGCGAGTAAAATTACAGCACACATTTTTTTTTTGTGACAATATGCCCCAATAGTAGGCCATTATTTGGGGTTGTCATTACTACACTGTAAAAAGTGATTAGCTACTTAAAAAAATATTAAGTAAATAAACTATGTACATACAATAATTATATGCATAATATTATAAAAATTAAGTCAGAGTTTGCTCACTTTTTAAAAGTAAAATCAACTAAAGCTCTTTTAAATCTTTTAGATTCAAACCTTACAATTTCCACAAAATAAAACGGCAAACTTACCAGCAGTTTGGTATTCACAGTTGTTGACCTTTTCCCTGATTGTGCTCAAGGCAATGGGTTTTTTGATTATGTCATAATAATCAGGCACCTGAAATTACAGCCAATCAAAAAAATAGTCAATACAACTAAGTAATGCCCTGGAGTAAAACTGGGAAAGTGAGATGTCATCTATAAATGCAAAGTTTATAACTATACCCTTAAAGAGTAAAGCTATGCATAAATCAACCAAAAATGGAACTATATAACCATATTACAGAGGGCTGCGAGTGTGAGCAGGTCTTAACGTCTAACCTGAGTTCTGGACACTAGCTTCATGAAGGGCCAGCTGTCCTCATGTCTGACCAGATCCACAGAGAGCAGCTCACAGGCAGACAGCTCGTGGACGCCCAAGTTTCTCCCTGAGCTTCGACGACTTGATGAAGTGGTGGTTGGGGCCAAGATGATTTTGGATTTTGGGGAGACCTCTGCTGGAGAAACAGCGACAAACCACAATAACTGAGATTTGAACAAGAATTGAAAATGAAAAAGAAAGAATAGAGGTCTAAAATATGAAATCAATTTAATCCAACCAATCGATGTATTATGGAAATACATTCAAAAATATTAATAGTAATAGCAACATTTAATCTCACTTGGTCTTGCAACTACTAGAACTTTTCTGTTAAGCTGCTTTGACACAATCTAAATTGCAAAAGCACTATAAAACTAAACATGATCTGAACTGTAAGTTTATGCATCGCAATTTTGACTTTTCTCCATTAATCTCACCTGTGAAGTAACTGAAGTTTGAAATAAAATGTTTGCATGACATCAATTAGGGCTGCAAGATATTGGAAAAATCTGACATTGAGATATTTTTTTCTCTCTGTGATTTATATCGCGTTATGAATACAAATCTCACCAGATGACAAAATCAATAATTTAGATTGATTGGAATGATTTTGTAGGGGAGTGAATCATGTATAGGTCTGCATTTTATTTTATCTAAATATTTTTTTCTATAAAAAAAAAAAAATTGAATTAGGATTGGGGCTTAGTGTACCCAAGAGAATAAATGAAGGATGCTGCATTTAATACCTTAAACAAACTTCTTATAACCATTTAGGTGTGAACATATCATGGCCAGCTTTACATTGAACCTCAGAAACGTAATGGTTAAAACATTACTGTTTCTCCCGTGATCTGTTCTCTTGCTCATTCACTCTCGTTGCCATGATTTCCGGGTATTTTAACAAATTTTTGGGGATCATTCAGCTGGTATAAATATGTGGGAGACTCGCATAGCTTCCAGGAGAGTTCATGAAGTTAAACGAGACACTAGATATGGGAGATCGCTCGGTTTATGTCACAGCAGCTCAAAACACTGGACATACAATGGCTGCACTTACTTAAGAGATCATCACTCGCACAAGTCGTGCCAATAAACTGTAAACAGAGGTCGCATTGCATCTGTATATATTTTATTTGTTGTGACGGGAGCGCATTGATCGCTCACGCCTCCACGCATCATTTACCTCCTCACATGTTGTGGCTGCTGTAGGCTATGCATAATATATGGGAGCGCACATACATCTTCCTCTGCTTGTAAACTCATAAACAAACATCTGTGATCGGTTCATGAGATCGGCCAGATTGGCAAGTGCCGATCGAGTCATTAAATGCGATTATCGGCTGATACTGATTTTTAGCCGATCGATCGGAGCATCCCTACTTCTAACATGTACTTGAAAAAGTTTTAATTGCAATATGAAAATCTTGTGGCTAATGATCTCGCACTTATGAGAAAATTTTTTTAAATAATTGTTAGACAAAAAGCTGCAATGACCATTTTGTCCTTTTACAAGGCAAAAACAAGCTATTAAACTGCAATTAGATGTGATGTGAATGTCAAACATCTTAGTCAGATTGGTTTATTTATTTATTTCAGCAAAATCACTGACACTCCTTACCAGTAATGGGCCTCTTCCTGGACTCTGCATTCCCTGCAGCAGGACTGGACTGCTCGGATTTCCCTGTCGTGTCATTAGTGGAGATCACCTCTAAACTAAGACGAGCACTAGAGCGGTTTCCTGCCCGAGATGGAGGTTTGCCATTGGACACTGGGGTGGCTTTCTTCCCTGAGTTTTTAGACCCTCCTTTATTAGCAGGCTGGCTCTGTTTGGGTGTGTTCTGCTGCGAGCGGGACGTGGAATTAGCGGATTCAGCTTGTTTTGATTTGCTGTTCGAACGACCTCCTTTATTGTTCTGTAGAGGAAGTTTGACCGCAGCCTTCTTAGGTACCCTGTTTTAAATTGGGGAAAAAAGAAAACAACCTTCATTAAAACTTCTGAACTTATTTCTGCCTGAAATCACGATCAAATTCCAGAAAACAGCAATTCTACTAACTCTTCCTCCTCTGATTGTTCCTCCTCTGACTCTTCTTCCTCTTCAGATTCTTCTTCGTCCTCTTCTTCAGACTCCTCCTCATCCTCCATTTCTTCTTCCGAGTCCACAGAGGAACGTTGGCGGGAGTTGATTCTATTTAAGCGCTGTTTGGGACGACACTCGGGACAGAACCAGTCTTCAGAAGGAACAGCCTTTAAAAGCAAATCAAATAAATGATTTGTTTATTGTAAAACTTTCTTTAGAAATGAGAAGTTTAAAATGGTGATGACTAGGCATGCCCAAAACCCGATATAATATTGAACTGTTTGGAATGAACTCCATGGTTCAACGTGTATATGGAAATAGCAGTTTTTCAGTTTGCATTTAAATAGACCTTTCTTTCCATTTTACCCATTTCTATAATTAAACTCTGAACTGGCTCTGCATGTTAGAAAGTATATCCTGAAACAAGGCTCTCCTTGAGTAAATGTGCATTAGTGAGCACTAAAGTTAGGGAGACTTTCACATGAAAATTAGTCTCTGCTTGCACCAGACACTTTATTACAATCACTTCATGTTGCCAAATGGGGAAACAATGCATTTATGATGTGTGCTTCACACAGGTGAGTGGGCTTGACAAACCACCTGTAAAAACACTCTTTTCTTAGAAAAAATTAATAATAACACCAACAACAAAACACTACCTCTTCCTGACTCTAGCACTTAATTCTGTTGGTACTAATTATTGGTAAAATTATCAGCTCTTGTGCTTTGCTAAATGACTAAATGTAATGTAAATGTAAAATGAAACAGACGTGTGCCACCAAAAGCCCACACTATATGACATTATTACTGTTTGTACTAAATTCATAAGCTTTAGTTAATTAAACTTTGAAGCTCAAAGCGCAAAGAGAACTCATGTCGGACATCTGAATAGGTAAATAAAAGTTACGACGTGCAAATTAATTCTTGCTTCTCAACACTAACACCCTGTTCATGCTTCCCATTCACTTTGAATGGGTGACGTCAGGCGTTGCCGAACTGCATTGACGGAAGCGTTAGCCAATCAGATCGCTGTATGCAAATCGCATCAGCCCCAACTTCAGTCAAGCGTTAACGCTGAAGCCCCGTGTGAATAAGGCGTTAAACTTAATTATGACCAATACTTATGTCAACATGTCCAACCTGACGAGTAGTCAATGAGTTATGCCTTAGGGCTGACTTATACTTCTGCGTCAAGTGCACGTGTATGGTGCTGTCGCATAGCTCACGCCATGGCTGACGCACGCGCTGACCTCTTAAAACAATGCAACTACACGTCGCATAGCGCAAGCTCTGTGATTGGTCAGCTTGGTAGCACTGACAAGTGCGAACGTTGCTGAGAGCTGCGAGCCAGATGGAGCCAGTGTTTACAAGTTTCGAGTCCCATGAAGGAGCTCCAGATGAAAACTTTTGTTTTGTGTTTACCTTATGATTAAAGTTGTTGCACAACTGCTGGTTCCCGCATCTGTATGAGCGAGTTTGAGCTACTTGTAGTGTTCAGAAAAAACAAAACACCAGTGAAGAAACTCAACACAGAGGAACATAAACACCTACTGCCAGCTAGCGTTTCAAAAGTGTTATTGCAGAGCAACACAAACAGCACACAGAAATTTAAATGCACGACTGTGTGTAAAGCAGGCGCCGATCACTGGACGCAGAAGTATATATGAGCCTTTAGAATGTAAACATTCAGAAAATAGCTTGTTCTGCAAGTTTCTTATTGTGCAATATCCGTTTTAATATTAATCAAACAAAAGATAATGAAATCACTCACTGATTTTGACTGAATAACTATGCATAGCTCAATAATGTTTAACTTTAATTTTAACAGTTAAGAGCATATACAGTATGAGCATTTACAGTATGAAGTGTTATATTGGAGTAGTTTTTAGTTACACAAACTGAATAATAAACTGTTAAGATACTTCAAAAACACTTATTTTAGCATCATCTTCGCTATATTGTACTCATTTTGTATTGTATTTTGCTTGAACGGTTTTCTTTCTTTATTATTCCTATTTGACAGTGTTGTTTTTTTTATTGAACATATCATATACCAAACCTTACCCATAAAACAGAAGCGTGAGAAGCCTGTGTTGTTCCACCCATAGTAGGGCTGCACAATATATAGTTTTCACATCGATATCACCAATGTGCAAACCTGCAATAGTCACACTGCAGTATGTAGAGTCGGTATTATATCTGACCTGTTTAAAACATTGAGGAAATTTTTATTTTTTATTTTAAATCAAGATTATTTTATTGGATTATTTATATAGTGAACACTATACAGTGTTATTTTTACATTTGATTATTCAATTTCGCTATCTGAATACTTTTATGCTAAAAACCTTAAAGCATTGTTTATTTTACTTTTGTCTTTGCTCTAGTCTATTTATCTATGCTTAATTTGTGTGATTTGTTCATTGTTTTTATACATGATTAACTCCCCTACAGAATTATCCCAAACAACCTAAATGACTTAATTCCTTCTAAATAAAGCTATTCAAGTTATCTGGGGAAGTCGTTTTAACAAACAAAATATGGCAATGTCAGATTTTTCTAATATTATGGAGCCCTAACCCCTAATGTCCACTACATTAGCAAGCCCTTACCTTCAGTTTTGGCCGAACACAGAAGATATGATAGCCTCTGCCACAGCCGTCACATAGAAGCATGTTCTCAGCATCTCCTTTTCTACGGCAAACCTTACAGCGGGTGTTCAGGATAGATTTGGCCCAGGCTACACTGCGCTCAAGTGTGGAGAGATGCAAGAAAACCTGAGAGAGGCTGGTGCAAGCCAAAAGAGACTCGCGCCAGCGTTCTTGCACAGTCTTCACCTGCCGCCCACTTTCACTACCATCTGTTGAGACCATACAGAGAAAAACCGGTTTAGTGTTGATTGTTAAATACAGCATGTGCTAAAAAATGAAAACACTTTCAGTTTGGTAAACATGCTTAAGCAAACAGCTGGTCAGTCTCCCAAATCGGTAAACAACAAATCATACCGTCTTTCTCACTGGATTGGTCATCATCCTTTTTTTTGTCCTTTTTCTTTGCCTTCTGGTCTTTTTTGGCATCCTCATCACCTACATAAAAATATAACAATCACAAGTGAAGAGACTGTAGATTGCTGAATTCAAAAATTATGAAGAAAAAACAATAATAATTACATATAAATTTAATGTTAATTTAAAAAATGTTATGAAATAAAATTGTAAAACAGCATTTGAATAAAGTGTAAACAATCTCTTAAAAAAGACAACTCAATAAAATATGGAAATAAACCCAACACAATCTAATAGAGCATGCTTGATATTTAAAGTGCTTTTATATGTGGGAAAATCTTCATCAAGTATTACAAACTAGTTTATCATCCAGACCAATTCAACAGTGAGTAAAATAATAATATCCAAGTTGTTGGAGAATTTATAGAGATGAATAAACTGAATAAATTGTTGGTTTTTTGGTCCAAAAGAGGAACTGGACAAAGTTTGAGGTTTGACAATAGTGCAACAGAGTCTGCTTGATGCTATAGCATTAAAAGTCCTGTGTAATATAATGTATTTTTTATTTAGTGCCATGTCAGCAACCAAGGCTATCTTCATGGCAGGAATCTTTCAACAATAAATATACAATTTAAAAATCAACAAACAAAATAAAACATAAATTAAATAAGATTTTTTGCGTTAATACATGATAAAAATTCTAAAATCTTTTCTGGTTTCACTTTGTCAAAAATGTCCTTAAAAGAGTTCATTTCATAAAAAGTCCTTCTGGAATCAGTAAAAGCAGGACAGTCCAGTAAAATATGTTTTACAGTAAGAGGATAAAAGTGTGAAATGCTTTGTAATATGTGTTTTTAATCGATTTCTGACATGATCTCAAGCGAAACACGAAGTGAGGGTGGGACAGTGTAGTTCTTCTTTAAAAAAAAAAACAGCCAATAGTGTTTTGTTTGATCACTGCTCTGCCAGTGGGAGTGGTCGAGCTCAAGTGCATCAAATGAAAAGCAAATGATTAGCATATTGAAGGGAGCGGGGCATATCAGATGCTAGAAACAATCTGACTGGTCAAAAGATTTGATTTCAAACTGTAATATGTGGTGACGTGAACAAAACCATTGATCCATTTCAATAACATCCAGCTGCAGACCCACATGTTTCAGCATACACCAACCAGGACACAAGATAAAGACAGGGGTGAACCATATATGGTTAATGACAGATAAGTTTTCTATTTTTTTCCTTGTTTAACGGTGACCAACTCCTTAAGAGCATTATCAACACCTACAGTATTTCACAAATATGAAAAGACAATCTATGACGGTGAACAGTTTAAGGTTTTCCATTTCAGTCATTATTTCATTATTATATCGTAACAATAATTTTAGCATGTGTGCATTGTTGATACTGATATTATGTAAATAAAAATAATTAGTTAAAACACGGATAACTATTAATTGATTAAGCAAATAAATACTATTTAATCACAGAAGTAAATATAGTGGTATACGTTCATTAAATGTAAAATTATTTTTATTACATATAAAGGCATATTATAGCCTATACATATTATTTCCTTGATTATAATGAATTCATTATATAAATTAAACCGGTCAAATTTAGATTGTTTATATATCTCTGAAAATGTTTCAGCAAGGCCAGCAATCAAGTATCTGCTATACCGACTCTGTCAGATGAATAATGACTGATCATTTATGATGACTGATAGAGAACGGTTCAGTCTATTATATTGAATGGCGATGGAAAACAACGTTCCCGATTTGCCCATCTCGATCAAGATATTTGTGAAATGGTATCCACTATTGTCTATGGTTGACATTAATTATTAACAATATATAAAAATAATTGACAACCCATGTTTATATTAGTTTATATCTTCTAAATGCAAGTTTTGTCACTGTTTTAGAGCACATTAGCTTATAGATCTCTTTAAAACAATTCTCCTACAAACATCTGAAAAACTGTTTTAATTTCGTGGGACCTTTAAAAGATCTTACCTAGTGGAGCTTTCAGAAACTTGCGCTCTATGCCCTGCTCCACCTGTGCAAGGGCATGTGCCAAGCAGTGAACGACATTATTCACGGGTTGTGGTGTGCTCACACTAGTGGATGTGGCACTATGACCCTCCACCTTCAGTTCTTGCAGCCTAAAAAAGAGAAGGAGACCATTAGTTCCTACATTTACAGAGCACTTCTGCAAAGTACCATTATAAAAACAAGTAAAAATACACAATGAACAGGTATTCAAGTAAAATAACCTGTCTTTGACTCTGTGATTCTCCTCAATCTCCATTGGCTCCTCTTCTCGGTCAGTTAGCCCATACTCTTTGAAGTCAGGGTCTAATAGTTCATAGTTCCCATTTTCGAGCGCAGCTCGCCATGAGTTTCTCTCCATCACCTTTTCATACACGAGAGGTGAAGACAGGGTATAATTAAAAAAAGATCCAACCACAAACAATATTTATAAGTTAGTAAAGAGCTTACTTTAATTGAGCCAAGAGTTCCCTGATATATGCGGTCCTCGATATCCAATAATAGATCTCGAAGACGATTCTCCATGAAGCACTCAGCAGGTACAGTGCTTTGTGGGCCAACTTTTGCTTTTCCCGAACTGCCTTTTGTCTCTGGCAGAGATTCACCTGTGCAATGAGTAGTAAAGTAAATATATAACCACAAGGTATAGCGTGTTCATGCTCAACAGATATAAAAACTAAAAATCTTAATAAAATAAAAAGACAGAAAAATACACACAAGTATGAAAACAAAGCAATAGTTTGAATCTTGCTGTAAGTCTCTTCTATTGAACGGAAAAGAAGATATTTTGAAGAATTCTGATTACAAAACAGTCTTCCATAGTAAAAGAAAAATATTATGGAAGTTATGTACTGCCATGGGGCGACATGGTGTCTCAGTGATTAGCACTGTTGCCCCACAGCAAGAAGGTCGCTGGTTCGAGTCTCGGCTAGGCCAGTTGGCATTTCTGTCTAGAGTTTGCATGTTCTCCACGTGTTCGTGTGAGTTTCCTTCGAATGCTTCGGTTTTCCCCCACAGTCCAAAGACATGCGCTATAGGGGAATTAAATAAACTAAATTGGCCATATTGTATGAATGTGTGTGCATGACTGTGTATGGATGTTTCCCAGTACTGGGTTGCAGCTGGAAGGGTATTCGCTGTGTAAAACACATGGTGGATAAGTTGGTGGTTCATTTCGACCTCTGATGAATAGGGACTAAGCCGAAAGAAAATGAATGAATGTACGTACTACCTTTCTGAGAAATATTTTTTTTTGAGTTCAACAGAATAAACCCCACAATTCCTGAACAAATTGTTAATTAAATTGTTAATGGTTAAATTACAAAAATTGTCATGAAGTACCCCTTTAAAAGTGTAGTCACACACCACAATTATACATTTAGTGGATGCTTTTATCCAAAGAATCGAAGAAAGGTAACTGTAATGTCAGCTATATTGGAATCCGCATCAATGAATATTTATAGTTTGGTCCTTGGTATGAACTAGTGTTGTTAAAGTATCGAGTTCGATATCAATCCATGGTTTCCGCATCATTCATCCTTTCATGGCAGGGCGCCACACCAAAATTCATCCCGCCACGGCTACATTACAGCTTCTCATTCAAAACATTATATTTTTTTAATAGCTGGTAATAATCGCACCAAAGATATATACATTCATAAATATTCCTACTAAATCTAATAAATGCTGGAGACATACTCATTACATAAACGCACTAAATCGCACTTCAGCATCGTTTATTTGAGAGCGCACATGAAAATCTGCGGAAATTGGCACGCAAGCAAAGAGATCCATATGCTCGTAGGCTATTACATTAATGCGATCTCGACTTCTAATACTGTGCTCACGACATTTGTCATTTGAAATAACGCCACAGGTAGGTGGTAAATCTGTGTAAAAAAGGCCTGCCGCCACAGCTGGAAAAAATCCTAGAGGAAACACTGCAATCGGTTTTCGTGATTTTGTGACAACACTAGTATGAGCACGTCTTAGGGGCAGTTCATATGTCACGTCTTTTGCGTATGCAAGTTGGTTATTTCTAATGGAGGTGCGATACGACGTGCTGGTGTATTCCAAGCACACCCATCAAAACGGTTGATGGTCGCCTAGCAAGAATAGGCAACAAAGGAGCATGATCGCAGAGAGTGCTGAAAATGGTGAAGGAAAGCTTTCCACATGCTTTTAGATGTGATATGTGAACGGCCCCTAAGGAAATCTACCTCCAAAAATCCCACAGTACCTGAGTGATGGTAGCGCTGAGCAGCGTTGCTTTCCATTAGCTGAAAAATGCGGCCCCTCTCCAGCGTCAGAGTCTCTTTGAGGGAGCTCTCTCTGAGTCCACGAGGGTTCAGAGCCTCTATAAGCTGTTCTACCTCTTCAGTTGTGCTGTAAAAGTACCACTGATTGGGCCGATTGACTGGGGGTGAGGTGTTTTGGACCAGCACCAGCTCTTCAGTGGCACCATCTGTCTTAACGGGGCTCTCAGCTGAGAGAACTTCTTCAATTTTGGGTTCGGGAGTGGGACGGGGCTCTAGCATGTCTTCTGTCAGCCCGAAAAAGTCATCCTCAACAAACAGGGCCCCGGCAGAAGGGAATATCCAGTAACGGCGATAGAGGCGGTCTCTGCCGAGAGGTAGAATATAGGTACAGGCCATGGCTTGCTGAATGCGCTCCAGAAGTTCTCTCTCTTTGAGCTGCTGTAGCTGTAGCTCTTCTGGGCTCAGGTTGTCTTTCATTTCAACCTCACCGGACGGTTTCTCTTTTGTTGTGCCATTTGTTTTCTTCACTGGAAAATGAAAATAAGAATGCTATAAATATTTGCTGCAAAAGGTTTATTATCTGTTCAGGGTTTCTGCAGGTTTCACTTTTTAAGACCATTAGGAATTAAATTTCAGATATAGAGCTAAACGCTACTGATTTTTTAAATGGCCCAGCAGATTTTTTTTACTTGACCCCATAAAAAAAAAAAAAAAAAAAAAAACTCTAATTAAATAATTCTAATTAATGACCTCTTAGCCTCAAATTTTATATTATGTTTCGAAACAAGCAGACTTTAGTTCTATACATACAATTTATCTCAACATAACTCTTCTTTTGTATTATTGGTGATTGAATGTGTTAGATTGATTATGTAGCTTTACATAAACGAGGGAAAATTAAGACCTGTTTAAAATGAATTTAGACAAACAACACAATATTTTGGACGTTTTAAAACTTTAGGACCCCAGCAGATACCCTGTCTGTTAATTTGCTTATTCAAAATTATTAATTTATTAAATCATAATAAGACTAAGGCCCGATCCAAATTCTATTTTTGTACCCCTAGATTCCCATTCCCAGCCACTTGACTTTTCTAACAGGGTATTCGGGTGAATGTAGTGGGACTGCTATAGAGGAGTTATTATTAGGGATTATAGATAGCAAAATATAGCAGGTTTTATTTTAGCATTCTTTTAAAAGCATGACGGTAAAACACAAACCGTTATGAATGTACTAAAACATGTACTTGTTTGTTGTAAAAATTCATAACAACATATATATATATATATATATATATATATATATATATATATATATACACATACAT